CCGGGCTGGGGATTCGAACCCGCCACCTTAGGTGTACTTGGCTGGCGCCTTAGCCGGTTGAGCTATAGGCGCTGAGCCACCAATGGTTTTGTTAAAGAATAAGGACAAAGTAACACACTGGTGAAAGCAGGAGGAAGCCTGGAGTCCACCGTGTTCATTTAAGCTCCCTTGCCCCCACATGGATGCTGCTAGAGCAAGGGCCGGCCGGAGCCCTTTTACACCAAGGCAAAAATAAACAGGCGGCTCCGGTTCCCCCTTGCTAAAGGCTAATTTCCAGTGTACACTGGCGATGTCTGGGTTGACGATGTTTTCCCAATGGGCTGGTGAGAAGAGCGAGAGCGTCTTACAGCTGTAACCTGGGGATATCAGTGTTCCTGGCATGAGAATGAAGAGCAGGGCTGAGACACTGGGGTCACACATGCGCAAGGATTCTGCGCCAGCTGACATCTGATTGCCCTTACCGAGTTCCCTGCTTCCCTGCTTTGGAGAACTGGGTGTCACTTTTGTTTTTAACTGTAAAGGGATCCCGGGGTGAAAAGAAGCACAATGCACCCCACACTCCTAGAATCCTTCCGGGAGAAGAGGGCGGGCTCAGGCTGGGGAGGCGGGATCCGTCGGGATCCAGAGGCCCGGGAACTAGCCCGCGGGGTCAGGCCGAAGACCCGGGTGCCCACTCCCGGTGACTGATGACCGGAGAGCAAAACTGGGGGCCTGCCCTCCCGAGCGAGGGGCGAGGGGCTGTTAAGTCAATGCGGGGAAACGTCACGTGTCAGCTCTTCCCACTCGGACAGCTCGGGTTCTTCCCGAGGTGGCAGGAAAGCGGCGGAGGAGAGGGGCGCCCGGAGCCGGCGCGCGGCGGCCCCTCCCCAAGGCGCACGGGCGGCGGGGCTGCGGCCCTTACCTGGTTCCTGCGGTACCAGGCGCCCGACAGGGAGCCGTTGCCGGCGCCCGGCACCCAGTACGTGAAGTTCAGGGACAGCTCGTCCAGGGCGGCCGAGGCGGCGTCCGCGGGCCCCGCCATTAGGTCTCGCTCCCGGCGCTCGGGTCGCGGCCGCCTGCCGGCCAGGCTGCACCGCGAGGAGGCCGCGCCTGGGCCGCACCGCAGCCACTTCCTGCTCGGTGCCGAGCGAGACCGGAGCGCCGAGGCCACCTGGCTCCCGCCCCCGCGCGGCTGCAGGTGCCGCACCCGCCAGCCCGCCCGGCCCGGCCTGGCCTCCCTCCCCCGGCAGAGGTGCCCGCGGGGCGCCCGGCCGTCTGCGGCCTCCTGGGGCCACCGGCTCGCACCGCGTCCTCCGCCCGGCCGGCCTCTGCGCCCGCATCCTCGCTGGCCAGACTGCCCAGTGCCCGCACCTGCGAGTGCGAGAACGCGCTTCAGGGAAAGGGAGAGAGAAAGGAGACAATGACCAGCCCAAAGCGGCTCCTATCGCTCGTCTCTAGCTAGCCATTTCAGTTCTCTCTCATTTATATTTTTCAGATTGTTTGCATATAGAAAAATAATGAGTTTTCCCCAAATATAGAAAGCAATGTGAGAGTAAAAATCGGTGAGATTAAATGTCAGCGCCAACGTTTGATAGATCCTTAGTAAATATTCCTTGAAGGAAGGAAGGAATTCCCAGGGGTACCTGGAGGACCCCAACGTGTATTTGGTGAATGGATTGGGTTACTCCAGATGGGACCAGAAGGAATTGCTGAAAAGCTGAGAGCTACTGTATACATGGGTATGAATTTAGGATAGAAGGTGGTAGTGTTAATGGTCTAACCAGAAGTTCTGGTTTTACCAGTGTTCAAATTCTAATACTACAGATGATCTGTAAGGAATTTTTCACTTTGAGCATATTAATTGCAGCCTGAAGCTCTGGAACTTACAATTCTTTTGTTTACACAATGCTGAAATTCTTCTTGGATAATGTGCCTTGACTTCCATGATTTCAAGAAAGAGACATTGAGTGCTGCCTAGGGGGGGACTGGAAGAAAGTTTTAGTGTTTCTTAAGGAAATGTGCAAATGAGGGGAAAAAAAATAGTGAGATAAGGTCATTGCAAACGCAGCAAAAACAAGACATGTCATCTTGGACACTAGTTTCTTGCTTGAGCACCCAAAATATCTGGTGATCAGTTAATGATAGTTAACTATTCCTAATTTTAAGAAGAAGATTTATTTCAAATACATATCTGAAATTTTGAAATAGTGTCTATTTTCTATAACATCACAATAATTCATGTCACATATTTCATTTATGTTTCTTTCCCTTGGTATGCTTTAGGGTGCAAGTAACAGACTATCCAAAGAGAAGTGACTTTAAAAATAAGTATCTGGGGGCCCGGGGTGGTGGCTCAAGCCTGTAATCTTAGCGCTCTGGGAGGCCAAGGTGAGTGGATAGCCTGAACCCAGGAGTTCAAGACATGTCTCTTAAAAAAAAAAAAAATAGCCAGGCATAGTGGCAGAGGCCTGTAGTCCCAGCTATTCTGGAGCCTGAGATGGGAGGATCACTTGAGCCCAGGAGTTTAAGGTTGCTATGAGCTATGATGGAATGGTACTCTACCCAAGGTGACAAAGAGAGACTCTGTCTCACACACACAAAAAAAGTATCTGTTTTCTCCAGAGGATTGTATCTCTATGTGGTTCTAGGATGTCACTTCCATCTTTCTGTTCTGCCCTCCCTGAGGCACAGCCAGCAGGGGAGACTGAGAAAGTGGTTCCTGGGCATTTCTAGCCTTGAGACTGAGAGGTGAGCTCTGCCAGCCAGGATGGGGATTGTGGTGGTGATGGTGAGGGGACCCCACAGAGCCTGGTTCAATCACTCTTTAGTTTTTTCTATCAGCCAGATTGTAAGTAGTTGTACAATTGCTAAAAGCAAAATACAAAAGGGATCATGTTGCTTTTCTGTTTAAAATGCCTTGACATTTCCCCATTGACACAACAAAGTTCACACTTTTAAGCCTGGCCTATGAGACCCTTTATGATCTGACCCCATATTTCTGTGCAGCAAAGTAGCAAATGTAAGAAGCCACATTTGTTGGTTTCTGCTTGCTGATATAATTCCACAAAGCCTCTTTCTCTGGGATGGCATGCAGCCCTCAGGAAGGAGGCTTTACAGGCAAAACAGGACAGAGCACATGGCCCTTGAGTCACTGTATTCCTTAACAGATAAATGACCCCAGTCCTTGCCTTTTCCTACATGTGATATAACATCTGATAGGATTAGTGACTATGCTTCTACGATCTATAACCAAATGTATTCTAGTAATCTATAACCAGATTATACCAAAACCTTCATGTGCTTTAGTACCCCCGGTCACCTTTATTTCAACAGACTGGCAGAACTGCTCCTGGGCTGTTGGTCTCAGTCTTGGGACTTCAGTATGACTTCTGCCTGAGACTGACCTTAGTTCTTTAAAAGCTTCATTTTTTTCTTTAGTTGACACTCTGCTACCCTCAACTTGTTCCCATTTTATTTTTTTTAATTAAAAAAACCCCCAAACCATTGGTTGTTTCTTTACAGTTGTTAAAAACCTCTCATTTTTGGAGGAAGATAGTACTAGGTGCAGAGAAGATTATGATACATATGCTACCACGTGCTGTTCTCCAGATTCCGAGACGCCACTGCAGTCGCTGCTGCTGTCCTAGTGTCTGGGGGTGGTTGAAACGAAGAATTCGTGACCAGTGTTCCTCACCCACAGTTCACAGGGAGGCGGCAGGAATGCCATGTGAACTATTTTGGGCCCGTGGCGTGGGCAGAGCTGTGGAGATTGTTCTGTACTTTGTGATGGCCTCTACCTCTTGTGGGGTTTCTTCAGGGGATATCCTGTTCCCTTTACAGGATGCTGAAAGTGGTTGATTTTTTTTCCCTGTCCTCCGTGCTGAAATGTGGAGGTCTGTCTTCCTTGGTAATTTGAATAATTCTACTCTGGTGCCACACCATTTGAAATAGACTTCACCAGAAACTTGAGAGCAGGGTTACATTTTGCCTACCTTGCCCGGGATCACTCACTTGCAGCATCAGCAAATCAGATTTTTTTAAAAAATAATCTTTAGCACAATTCAGTTGTGTTATAAATAAGCATTATTTTAACACATTTGTTAATAAGCATGGGGGAGGATTCCTTAAACACATATAAAAAGTACAAACCACGGAGGAAAAAATTGACATATGTAATTACAATAAAACAAAGAACATTCATACATCAGGAGGCACCACAAAGTGTGAAAAAATAAATCACAAACTGAGAACATTTATTTGTCACACATATGACTGAAAAAGAATTCATATCCGGAATGTATAAATAACTCCTGCAGGTCAGTAATAAAAGGTCAGACAACTCAGTAGAAAAATGGGCAAAAACATAAACAGGTATTCGTCATAAGAAAAAACATGAATGGCTAATAAACAGAAAAATGCAAATTAAAACTCCCAATGAAAACCATTTTACACCTACTGGTTGGAAAAACACACTCGTAAAGAAAGTTCCATGCCAACCGGTGATAAGAGTATGCAGTCACAGAAATCCTTATTCAGTCTTGATGCTATTGACGTTGGAAAGAGCTTGAACTTATTTGGTAAACGTGAAGATGTGTGTATGAACTTCTTTCTTGGGTCCATACCCCAAGGAAGCTTCTGTACATGGACAGAGGAAATGTACCAAGATAACAGCACTCTTTGTAATAGCACAAAAACTGGAAACAGCTCAAGTGTCCATCAGCAGGAATAGTGAGCAAATGAATTCTGATATATTTATACAATAGAATATTACATGGCCATGAAACTGACAGAACCACAGCTACCCAGAACCCACATCAACATAGATGAAGCCTGCGAACATAATGATGGGTTAAAAAAGCAAATCCAGGGAAGATTATATACAATATTTCTCACAAGCATTCAAAATACATAATACATTGTTTAGGAGTACATATATATTTAGGAAAACCTAAAGAAAAGCAAGGGATAATAAACACAAAATTCAGATGATGGTTTGGAGTGTTAGCAATGATCTACTTCCCAAGCTGGGTGATGGTTACATGGGCATTCATATTTTTACTATTGTTAAAGATATGTACTTAGGTCATATGATCTCTTTTGTAACTATGATATTTCTTTCTTTTTTTATTAGACTTTTATTGTGAGTTGTGGCATGTATAACTAAAAAGTGACTTTACTTATCGCATTTAATTTGTTGTGGTGATTGTTAAATTCTACTATGTCTGACATCACGATCACTACACGTCTTTCCATTTGTTTCCAGTTGCTGGCATACTCCATCTGTCCTTCTACATTTATCTTCTCCAAATCATTTTGTCTTATGGTTTTTAAAACATCATTACAGTTATAATTGTAATGAAATTGTAATATAACTTATTTTCATTTTTTCTCAGAGTCTCAAAAAAGAGACAATTAATATTCATAAATAAAAATAGAAGATAATTTAAAAAAACAGATCATGCCAAATCTTACAGATGATAGAAGAAGAAGAAATACTTCAAATTCATTCTACTTCATCTGGTTATTCCTGATATTAAAATTGGAAAAATCATATTATCATAAAGGGAAATTATAAACATATTGCACTTATAAATGAGGATGCGATATCCTAAACAATATATTAACAAGTTGAATTACAAATTATGGTTCAAATAATGTACTTTGGTCAAAATTAAATCCAATTTATGTGAGAATTAGTCACTATTTTTTTTCTGTTTCTTTTTCCTTTTCCTTTCCCCCACCCTCTCCCTCCTTTTTTCTCTGTCTGCTCTCCCTTCCCCCACCCTCCACCATGTCATTAATTGTCATTAATTGTCCTCATATCAAAGTTGAATACATAGGAATAGTTGAATACATAAGAATACATTCCTCAACCCAGGAATGGATTGGCAAGCTGTGGTATATGTATACCATGGAATACTATTCAGCCATTAAAAAAATGGAGATTTTGCAGTATTTGTATTAACCTGGATGGAGGTGGAGCACATTATTCTTAGTGAGCATCACAGGAATGGATAAACATGAATCCTAATATAATTTTTTTATAATATAGTTGGGCATTGATTTTTTTCAACCAACATAAACAGGTTTTTTTTTAATAGATGACTTACGTCCATTCATATTTATGGATAAGATTGATATGTTTGTCAACTTTACATTATTTCTACATTTTCAGAACTTATAACACATACTATGCAGAATATATTATCATATTTTATTGTTTCACCTTCGTTCTTTCT